TTAGATGAAAATTGGGTTTTCGGGTAGATTTCGAAGAATGATGACCAACGGTATATAGTTTGTTAAATTCAGAATTGCGTGTAAAGCGTGATGAGTAAAATAGACATTACAATTGAATAAATAAATATAAAGATTTTATGATAATAATATTAAAATACTTAAACCTAATCCTACCCGTAGTGGTAATAGCCCAAATCCCAAATTCAACCCATCTGTAGTGTACCTATATATGCACGCATATATACATTAACCAAGGAAGAAAACGCAAAAAACAAAGCTACGGAAAGAAGGAAGAGCATCGCCGCTCCTTCTTCTTCATCAATTCGCCGATCGCACCAGACGAGGGAGGGACTGACTTCGTCGGAGCTTTGCTGGAAAAACTGAGCGCCAGAAAGCCGTTGCTCCTCTGTGCCGACTCCTCGATCGCCGAAGCAGCCCATCGTCACCAGCCTCTTGTTCGGTTGCTGATTTATTTTAGTTCGTCTTCAATTAATCGAGGTCTGAACTTGCACATCTAACGCTAGATTATGTGTATAGATTTGAAATTCACGTTCGTAGTTTCGTATGATTGATTACGTGGTTTAATTGTTTATAATTGAATTGTGATTTATTTATATCTTATGATAATATTGGAATTGATTGAACGAAGATGACCAGGTATGTATTCTTACTCTAAATGGTGTAGGTTTGCATGATAATAATCTTTAAAAACGTTGTACATATTGTATGGTTTGGAATCGGATCGGAATCTAACGTTCCGGTGACTTCCCGACGTCAGACGGTAGCTAGGTACCGCCTAGCGGTACCGTGCTACCGCCACTAAAGATTGCCATTGCCGGTACTTGCGCCCGCACGGTACGGGGGTACCGGACCGACGGTACCAAGGTACCGCCTGGCGGTGCCGAGGTACCGTAAGGGGGTACCGGACCGGCAGACTGTTCGATCGATTCTTCGTCTGTTTGTTCTGTTTCGACTTCTGGATTGTTCCCTATGCTTTGTGTGTTGCATGACGGTAAGTGGAAGGTGTTTACACCTGACACTAGGCCGCTAAATGAGTTGCTTGGTGGATTACCTAATTATTGTAACCCTTCTGTTATAATTAAATATAATCTTGTTGTGTTTAAAAAGTACATAAGGAACTCGGATTGATGTGGAATAAGCCTGAACCATAGAGATATTGTAAATAAATGACTAGGCTACCTAGGGGAACTCTAGGACTGCCTTAGTAAGATTATGAGCATAAATGTCAATAGATAGGATCAGCCCTGCGGATTTGATATCTGGCGGCTGCGGGTGAAAACGTACGTACGGGATCCAAGAACTGTCGTTCCGAAGGGGACAGGGGTACCACCCACCCAGCGGAGAACTCCTTCGTTGGTCATCAGGTTGTGTTGTGTCATAAGGTATTGAATAAGGTAGACTTGAGTCATGACCGTAGGTAGTGACTCCAAGTCCGAACATAAGGTTGTAAATATGGAAGTATGAACTTAGTCTGGTAACTATGTTATGAGCTATGAATATGGAGGAAATGAGGTTATGATTTGTGACTTGTGAATTTATTTGGTGACTATTATGTTCTATTATATTGTATACTTGTGTGCATGATATTGTATGGAATTATGAGCTAGTGGGTTCGTCTATGTGTGTTGTCGAACGTTAGATAGATTCCACTCAGCTTCATTGCTGAGCGTGTATCCCTTTTTCCTATTTGCTACACGTAGGTTACAGGAACGATGAATAATGAGACGATCTTGGAGGCAGCGAGGGCGAAGAGATGGATGGATGCTAGCTGGAGGAGTTTATTATTTAATATTTAAGTTTGAATTATTATATTCTTAAGGGCAAGAACCCAAAGTTGTATTTTGATTAAGTACTTAAAGGCTTCCGCACCGTTTTTATTTACTCTGATGGATATTCAAATATTGTTTTGAATTAAATGTTTTAAATTGTTTTGAAAATTATTGTGTTTGAATGCCAATTTAGTAGCAACCCGATCCGCTGGTCCTTGTATTCGGGTCACGCGGGTTGGGGTGTTACATTTTGGTATCAGAGAAATTGGTTTTAAACCCGGTCTTCGGACTCTTTCAAAAAAAAGGGGATTTCAAAAAAAAAGGATTTAAAAAAAAATGCTGATTTGGTTATCAGGTACTTCAGCAGCAGCATCCGCATCTCTCGCAACTCCTCTGCCTCAGGAAGGTAATTAAAGTTGATTATTTGTTTACTATGAGTTAGCATTTAATTAGGAAAGTTGATCTATATAGAATGAGCGAAGCTTCGAACAACCAAAATGAGACCCAGGACATGGAACAAAACGTGGAGGCTCAACAGGACCCGATTATGCCTGCGTTCCTTACGCAATTTCTGCAGCAAATGGCGAACGCGCCAATGTTCCAGCCACTGCCTCCACCGCCTCCCAGGAAAATCACGTTGAAAACGCTGAAGGACAATGGTGCTGAAGAGTTTCATGGGGATAGGATCTCTGATCCCCAGATTGCACTAGACTGGATTGAACAGACAGAAAGAGTGTGAAGAATCTGAGTGTTCCAGACGCGAGTCGTCCTGAGCTTGCTTTCCAGCTCCTTCGTAAGGGAGCATATGAGTGGTGGAAGCGCGCAGACGAGAAAGCGCCTAAGCCTTGGACATGGGAGCATTTTGATTGGGCATTCAAGAAGGAGTATATACCAGCCCGCTACAGAGAAGAGAAACGTACGGAGTTTATGGAGCTAAAGCAAGGAGACATGACTCTTCCCGAGCTTCGACAGAAGTTTGACCACCTAGCCCAGTTCGCGACTACGCTGGTAGCCACGCCGGCCGACCGTATTGAAGAATTTCGTAAGAGGCTGCGTCCCAACATTCGACCATATGTATCCATCCTGACCACTACAGACTTCTCTAAGGCTTACGATCTCATGGCAAAAGCAGAAAAAGATGTGGATGATTACAAGGCCAGCTTGAAGGCCGAGGAAGGAGGACCCAATACACGCCCAACTGTGAGTATTACGCCGAGTGCGAAGAGGCCGTTAGGTGAGACAAGTGAGGCGTCTCATGCGAAGAAAAGCAAGTCCGTGCAGGTCCAACCAGCGCCTACCCAATCGGTGGCCTCCAGTAGTAGGTCAAAGCCGTCAAGGCATCCCACATGTGAACTTTGTGGTCGAAATCATCCTGAAGAGTGTTGGTTTGCCCAAGGCCTTTGTATGGGTTGTGGTAAGTCGGGACACATTCGTAGAAACTGCCCTACAAAGCCTGGCGAACCTTTCCCAACCGCTCCAGGGAGAGGTCAAACCGCCACGCCACAGCTAACACAAAGTCAACGCACGACTGCTGGAACAAATCAGAAGAGGAACACAAATCAACCACAAGGAAGAGCTCCAGCGCGCACATATGCGATGATAGATTATGCAAACCCCCAAGATAACGACGCTCACGATGGTACACTTCGGGAACCTAACTTAATAATGATTAGTTAAATGATATGTGCTCCCTATGTGTTTATCTGTGTGAACTATATGTGCATGTGTTTGAGTAGACGCTAGACTAAGGAATTTCGGGGACGAAATTCTTTTAAGGGGGAGAGAAATGTAACGACCTGAAAACCGGCCTAGTAGTTAGCCGTTATTTTAATAAAAAAAATAAACATAATATTTATTTACTCTAAAATATGAATTATTTGTAAAGTTATCCATTTTAGATGAAAATTGGGTTTTCGGGTAGATTTCGAAGAATGATGACCAACGGTATATAGTTTGTTAAATTCATAATTGCGTGTAAAGCGTGATGAGTAAAATAGACATTACAGTTGAATAAATAAATATAAAGATTTTATGATAATAATATTAAAATACTTAAACCTAATCCTACCCGTAGTGGTAATAGCCAAAATCCCAAATTCAACCCATCTGTAGTGTACCTATATATGCACGCATATATACATTAACCAAGGAAGAAAACGCAAAAACAAAGCTACGGAAAGAAGGAAGAGCATCGCCGCTCCTTCTTCTTCATCAATTCGCCGATCGCACCAGACGAGGGAGGGACTGACTTCGTCGGAGCTTTGCTGGAAAAACTGAGCGCCAGAAAGCCGTTGCTCCTCTGTGCCGACTCCTCGATCGCCGAAGCAGCCCATCGTCACCAGCCTCTTGTTCGGTTGCTGATTTATTTTAGTTCGTCTTCAATTAATCGAGGTCTGAACTTGCACATCTAACGCTAGATTATGTGTATAGATTTGAAATTCACGTTCGTAGTTTCGTTTGATTGATTACGTGGTTTAATTGTTTATAATTGAATTGTGATTTATTTATATCTTATGATAATATTGGAATTGATTGAACGAAGATGACCAGGTATGTATTCTTACTCTAAATGGTGTAGGTTTGCATGATAATAATCTTTAAAAACGTTGTACATATTGTATGGTTTGGAATCGGATCGGAATCTACCGCCACTAAAGATTGCCATTGCCGGTATTTGCGCCCGCACGGTACGGGGGTACCGGACCGACGGTACCAAGGTACCGCCTGGCGGTGCCGAGGTACCGTAAGGGGGTACCGGACCGGCAGACTGTTCGATCGATTCTTCGTCTGTTTGTTCTGTTTCGACTTCTGGATTGTTCTCTATGCTTTGTGTGTTGCATGACGGTAAGTGGAAGGTGTTTACACCTGACACTAGGCCGCTAAATGAGTTGCTTGGTGGATTACCTAATTATTGTAACCCTTCTGTTATAATTAAATATAATCTTGTTGTGTTTAAAAAGTACATAAGGAACTGGGATTGATGTGGAATAAGCCTGAACCATAGAGATATTGTAAATAAATGACTAGGCTACCTAGGGGAACTCTAGGACTGCCCTAGTAAGATTATGAGCATAAATGTCAATAGATAGGATCAACCCTTCGGATTTGATATCTGGCGGCTGCGGGTGAAAACGTACGTACGGGATCCAAGAACTGTCGTTCCAAAGGGGACAGGGGTACCACCCACCCAGCGCAGAACTCCTTCGTTGGTCATCAGGTTGTCTTGTGTCATAAGGTATTGAATAAGGTAGACTTGAGTCATGACCGTAGGTAGTGACTCCAAGTCCGAACATAAGGTTGTAAATATGGAAGTATGAACTTAGTCTGGTAACTATGTTATGAGCTATGAATAAGGAGGAAATGAGGTTATGATTTGTGACTTGTGAATTTATTTGGTGACTATTATGTTCTATTATATTGTATACTTGTGTGCATGATATTGTATGGAATTATGAGCTAGTGGGTTCGTCTATGTGTGTAGTCGAACGTTAGATAGATTCCACTCAGCTTCATTGCTGAGCGTGTAGCCATTTTTCCTATTTGCTACACGTAGGTAACAGGAACGATGAATAATGAGACGGTCTTGGAGGCAGCGAGGGCGAAGAGAGGGATGGATGCTAGCTGGAGGAGTTTATTATTTAATATTTAAGTTTGAATTATTATATTCTTAAGGGCAAGAACCCAAAGTTGTATTTTGATTAAGTACTTAAAGGCTTCCGCACCGTTTTTATTTACTCTGATGGATATTCAAATATTGTTTTGAATTAAATGTTTTAAATTGTTTTGAAAATTATTGTGTTTGAATGCCAATTTAGTAGCAACCCGATCCGCTGGTCCTTGTATTCGGGTCACGCGGTTGGGGTGTTACAGAGGAAGTCGACCTTGGCTTCACGTACTTGGTCTGTTCCTTCGTACGTCACCTCTAACTTATCCCACATCTCCTTGGCGGTTGAGCAGCAGGAGATCTTGCGGTAGTCATCAGGATTTACGGCACAATAAAGCATGTTTATTGCCTTTGCATAGTTCTCGACCTTTTTGATGTCCTCGGCATCAAACTCGTCTTCGGTCTTGGGGATCAACTTGTCTCCGACTTTCTTCATCGGCACCTCTTCCCCGTTTTTGATAACCAACCATAATTGGAAGTTCGTGGAACGAATATAGATTCTCATTCGTTCTTTAAAATATGTATAATTGGTTCCATCAAAAAGTGGTGGCCGTGTGGTTGATTGCCCTTCACCTATTCCGGCATACAAATTTCTAGAAGAACCCATGATCGCTTTACTCTCAAACGGTTAAGTTTGGACGCGAGTTAGGCGCTGATACCAATTGTTAGAATAAGTGACCAACGCTAGAGGGGGGTGAATAGCGTTTGATCGTAGAAATCGCAGGAATAATAAATTAAGAACGTGAAAAGTAAAGAGCGTAGAAAGCGTAAAGGGAGCACACCAAGATTTATACTGGTTCACCACAACGTGTGGCTAATCCAGTCTCCCGAGAGACTCTCTCGAGCTACACTACTTCCGTTAAGCTTACGGGTGCTTAATAAACCGTTACAACCTGAGAACTTGAGTCCCACGAGCCTCAACACCCTTGCTCGGAGATACCGCACTCCAAGACTTCAACCCGAAGGAAAATACCTTTCCTTCGTACAACCAAGGGAAACAAGCTTCCCTTAACGTGTATACAACACTAAGACACTCAAGAACAAGGCTCTCTTTTAGAGTAGATATTGAGTAAACTATATACGCTCAAGAACAACTCAAACTTCACAAATTGGCTCTAGAAAGCTATGAAAGATGATGTTGTTTGAATGCAATGATAATATGAAAATTGTGAAGTGAATTGGTAAGAAAAGCAGACCCAAACACCCCTTTTTATAGTGCCAAAATAGGCTCCAACGGACCAATGCATTAAAGGGGTGATTGGCTTGATTTATGGGATTGAAAAGATTTGGGATCTGCAGAATATTGGCTTCCCATCGATGTTTTAGGACTTACCCATTGCTGGTAAGCCAATTTTCCTTCAGTTTTGAAGCCAACGGTTACCTACCCATCGATGGGTAAATGCTTCCCATCGCTGGGTGGGAGGTTGACTTTCAAATAAGGAAAGAATCAGCCTTAAATGACTCCCAACGGTCATGCCTTTTCATCGATGGTTAAGCCTTCCCATCGCTGGGTTCCCATCGATGGGTAAAGCTTCCCATCGCTGGGTAAGGGCATTCTGCCTTGTGGTAATGTTGCACCAAGGCTTAAACATCGATGGGTAGAACTTCCCATCGCCGTTTGGCATGGTTCTGGAAATTGGTTTGGCTAAGGGACTGCTTACCCATCGATGGGAAGATCTTCCCATCGCTGGGTGACATGATTCTAGAATCCCGGGATCACTTACCCATGCATGGGTGAAATCTACCATCGCTGGGTAGATGGCTAGCCCAGAACCATGGCCTAGCTAACCGGCGCTGAAACCCGACCGAAAAATGCAAAGTTCTCCAAAGTAAAAACTAAGTATATAAAACACTTATTTAATGTATTTTGATGTCAAAACAAGCTTTTTAAGTTGAAAACCACGTTGTTAAGGTAAAAACCACGGTTGACCAAGTCAACACCGTACACGGGTGGTTTTCACCAAAAGACAAAACCGAAAGGTGGTTTTCATTATGTTTTGATTGGAAAACCATTTAAATGCATCCAAAAACAATTCCCACACAAAAATACTTGAAAACCACTTCATTTAAGTAAAAACCACGGCTAGCCAAGTTTATGCCGTTTCACGTGGTTTTTATCAAACGACAAAAAATGAAAGGTGGTTTTTGAAGTGTTTTTTATTAAAAACTATTTAAATGTGCCCATAAGTAAAAACCAGTCATAAAAAGTTGAAAACCACTTGGTTAGTTCGGACGCCAAAAACCAACGCCGAAAACCGAATGCCGAACGCCGGTTTCTGAAACCCGAACGCCGAATGGCTTGATTTTTGGTTTGGGCGAACACCAAGTATTTTTAATGTTTTAAACATGTTTGAAAAACATTTTTATGATGTGTGAAATGAAATGAAAAGAATTTTAGCCTAAAGAGCCAAGGTGTAAAGGTTGGGTCGGTCTTGATCACAATTATGACCGACTCAACAACACTAAGACAACGGTCTTCGTTCTTGGTCTTCTTTTGGGTCTTGTTCTCTTTCTTTCTTCTTATATTTATTTCTCACCTTGTATATTCAATAACTTGTCTCGTTCACGGCGGTTTGGCATTATCAAAACCTGTCATAAAAACGAACACGACTTTAGTACGAAAACACGATAAACCCGTGTTTCAACATCACGGCATCCACCCAAAAATACTTAGGGATTTTTGCCTCATTGATCATAGTTCTAGCCATCTCTTCGAGACATCTATTTTTACGTTCCACCACTCCATTTTGTTGTGGTGTACGTGGGGCTGAGAAGTTATGATCAATGCCAAGTTCGTCACACAGATCTGAAAACAGATTTCGTTCGAACTCTCCCCCATGGTCGCTTCTTATGGCTACTATGGTTGTTTCTTTTTCATTTTGAACTTTCTTTAAGAAATTTTTGAAAACGTGAAATGCCTCACTTTTATGAGTTAGAAACAAGGTCCATGTAAACCTAGAGTAGTCATCGACAATCACAAACGCAAAGTAATTGCCACCAAAGCTTTTCGTTCTAGAAGGACCAAAGAGATCCATGTGCAAGAGTTGAAGCGGTCTAGACGTTGAAACAACGTTTTTAGACTTAAACGAAGCCCGAACTTGCTTCCCCTTTTGACATGCATCACATATGATGTCTTTTTCAAACTTAAGTTTTGGGATGCCAATTACTAAGTCTTGTGAAACCAATTTGTTCAAAAGGTTCATGTTCATATGAGCTACCTTTCGGTGCCATAGCCAAGTGTCTTCCTCTTTACTCATGAGGCACTTAGCAAAGCCGGAAGGAGATTTGTCTAGGTTAACCATATAAATGTTATCGATTCTATCACCACGTAGAATGACCTTATTGTCACTAAGGCGTTCGACAGTGCATGATTTTGAATCGAAGGTCACACGGTTTCCCTTGTCACATAATTGACTTATGCTCAAGAGATTGTGTTTAAGACCTTTAACAAGCAAGACATTATCTATAGAAGAGTCTTCGGACTTACCTACTGAGCCGACGCCAATTATTTTTCCTTTGATATTGTCTCCAAAGACTACGTTTCCTCCTTTAGCGGGTTTGATTTGTAGGAACTTGGATGCATCTCCGGTCATGTGCTTGGAGCATCCGCTATCAAGGTACCAAAGTACACTTGACGCCTTCAAGCATACCTACAAGAATGATTTAATAAGATTTAGGTACCCAAGTCTTTTTGGGTCCTTGAGTGTTAGGTGCAAAGTGGTAGTGTGATTCATTTTGTGCCCAATGCCTATGCCTAGTAAAGCAAACGGGAGCTATATGTCCTACCCTATTGCAATAATGGCAAACTACGTTTGGGTTGTGCATCCTC